AACCATTACTGAAATCATAGAGCAGGAAACCATTTCAGTCAAGGAGCTTGTGTGAATCTCTTTCCACCCTTTATCTACTACAGTGGTCTTATTAGAGGGCTTGGAAAACAAAAACAAAACCTCTGAACTACATTTAATACATATAGATTAAGTCAGCCCTCATACTTCTCTCTCATAATAATTGTTAATGCTCACATAATAAGATTTTGTAGCAAGTAATTGTTTTGCAGCACCAAAACCAATAAAGAACCTTGTGACACCTTCAAGACTTAAAACTTTTATTCTGGCATAAACAAGCTTTTGTGGACTGCAGCCCACTTCAGCAGATGCAATAATAAGATTTGTTTCCCAGCCCTAGTGTAGTCTTTCTTTGATCCCTTTTCAATGTTTTCTTTTTGAAATGCAGGTGTCATACCTGTGTATAGAGTTTCAGCAGTGTGCTCTCCACAGAAAACACTTTGCTACTTCTTAATAGATCCCTTTATCCATTACAAAAGGAAGCCTGTTATTCCCTTTTAAGTTGCATCCTTGCTCCTGAAACCCTCCCCTTGGTATAGGTAAGGAGAATAAAAGGATGCCTATACCTCCAAGCTGTCTCCAGAGTTAGATGGAGGCTAATGGAGCCTGGACCATCAATAATTTGAGAGGCAACTAAAGAACAACAACCTCCTTTTGTCTGTAGAACAGACATGCACCAAGAGGTGCTCAGCCAAGCAATAGCCGACTAATTAACTTCCTTCCCTCCCCCTTCACTGCTGGGTCTCTTCAGTGGCCAGTTATGCAGCCTTTGCAACCCTGCATCCCTCATTAACATCAGAGGGTGATTGTGCTACTTTAGTAGCACTGAGGTGCACTGAAATGCTTTAATGTGGATCTAGCTGTAAATGCTAGTAGCAGGTAGAGTCTTTGTTTGACTGACAATTCACTCATCAGGGTTTCTCTTAAAGGAAGAATAAAACTGGTGGAAGATCTTAAAATTTTGGAGAGGTGCTGCAGTATGGTTACTACATTTATATTCCCTCCCCAAGAGCTTAAGGCATCATATATTGTTCTTACTGTCTTCATTTTTATCTGCCCTACAACCCTGTGAGGTAGGTTAGGCTGAGAGAGGGTGGCTCGTCCAAGCTCACCCAGTGAACTTTGCGACTGAATGGGGATTGAACTCTGAACTCCACACACCTAGCCTTAAACGCAGACCACAGTTCTGTACCACAGTGCCTGATCTTTCCTCGTGTTTTTTCAAGCTACCTATTCTTATCTGGAGCTTATTGTCATGACTGCCTTACTCAGAGCCCCTTTGAAGGCCTCTTTGCGATGGTGAAACCCAAGCTAATGTTGCTACCAAGAGCAATCTGATCTCTGCAAACACAAGGATGACAAGCTGTGCTCCCGGGGGACAGATGCTGACATCTACTGTGTCATTGGTTGCTACCTTTATGGCAGGTATCCAGTTCTGCTACCGAGCAGTTTGACAGGAAGCATGAACAGCCCTTCCCATTCTCAGTGAAGGTTTTCAGACAGATCGAGGGAAGTCCTTAGCACAGTACATAGTTCACTGCCATACGCGTTAGTGATGGCGTTAAAGGGGCATTGGACAAATTCATGGAGGGCAGGCCATCAACAGCTACTAGTACAGGAGGCTATGTGCTACCTCCAGAATCAGAGGCAGTAGGTCTGAATGCATCAATTGCTGGGGAGCATGGATAGGATGGCACTGTCACATTCATATCCTGCTTGAAGGATCCTGTGAGTGACTTGTTGACCACTGTGTGGATGGAATGCTGGACTGGGATCCTTGGTCCAATTCAGCATATCAGTTACATACACACGGTCACCTTCAGATGGCCACTGGGGCTGCTGTTACAAAAACATCACCAGGCTAAGAAACAGTCTTAAGGAGATGAAGCTTAGCAGTCATCTGCTGCAAACCAGCCAGAGCACTTTAGGAAAACCTTCTGTGACTCAGGTTGATTTGCTTCAATTCTACAGAATCTTAGGCATGTTTCAGTGCAATTCTTTTTAAAATAAATACAAATCCAATAATTTCTTTGCTCCTTTTTGTGTTGGCAGCAATAGAAGGAAACAGATACACACTCCTTAGCAAACAGACAAATGTCAAAGGACATCAGGGAATCAGGGCGGTATCCTCTCCAACTTTGCCTTTCCTAGACACACTCTCTCTCTCTCTCTCTCTCTCTCTCTTACGTATTTCCTTTCCCAGCTCCTTCTATAGCTACTGATCTTGTTGGGATGAAGCCAAACAGACACCTGATCTAAGCCTAGTCAAGGCGTCCCTGTGGCTAGTATGGGCCTGTCCCCTTTGTCACCCCAGAAGAGGGTTGGCAGGCCTCAGAGAAGCACAAAAGAAGATTAATGTTCCCCAAGTGGGCGGGCGCCTGGTAAAGGGTAGCCGTCGGTGCCAAAGTGGTAACAGCTGATCTGGCCATTCTGTACTTCCTCCCCTTCAGACTTATCTTACTCTCTAGAACTCTCCTATTCCACCTCTCCAGTTCTGCCAGGCTCCTTCGGCCCTGAGGGCTTTGAGAGGTGAGGTTGTAGCTCATGGAGAAGGCCTTCAGGTTCAGTCCCAGCCCAGCTAGGCAACGATGAACTTGGTGGACAAGGGTCTTTCCACCCAGAGGAGCATCTGCCTGGCATTTTGCAACCCATGACCCACCCGAGTTCCTTTTCTTCAGTGGGCACAGCAGGATTTTGCATCCATGTGAGTGACTGCTCAGTGCATCCAGGCTGCCTTTCCCTGCCCCTCCCTTTACTCTGCACCCCTCCTGCAGCACCTTTTCTCCATTCTGAGCACGTGCATTGGTGAGTGTAACTTACCTGCACATCCCACTTTTCTAAATATCAATAAAGATAATAATGATGATGACACTGCAGTATTTCAGAATTCCTTACTTTCTAATGGCTCCTACATCTGCTAGCTTGCCACTTCATTTCTCAGCAAATATGACTACTGAAAGCGGGGCCTACTGGCAGGAAACCGAGGGCAGGCCCTCACTCAAATTCCCTCCTTTCACATCACAAAGCTGTCTCACTGTTACTGTCTTCCTGTGACACTGGGCTTTTGTGGAAAGATCTGTTTCTCAAGACCTCACTGTGATACTCTCCTTGCACGCCAAGACCATGGAACAAATATGGCCCACTTGCCGTCTTTATCTTGGCTCCACCCACTGCTGGCTTCTGGCCCTCAAGAGTGTCTCTGAAAGAAAAAGGCCATTGGGCTGAAAGAGATTCAGCTCCCCTGCTCAAGACAGTCACTAGCGAGGGTGGCATTCTGCATTCCCATGACAGGTCTGTCCCCTTCTCAATCAGTACGGAAGACCTCTGAGTAGATCTGTTCTTTGGCTGGTGATAGGCTCATGAGCACACAGCTGGGCTAGGGTGATAATATCCAAGCTATTAGTCTCAGCTCCTCAGCTGCTCTCAGCTAACCACGTGAGGCAGCAGAATATCAATCTAGCTGGTTCCTCATCAGATCCCAGCGCATGCTACTCGATTGTTGTCCCTCTGAGTGTTTCCCAGCACATCTGTGCTTATTACGAATGGTGCAGTCTAATTAGTTAGGAGCCAGTTTGCAGTGCCCCAGGAGGATCTGGGTGTGCTGTGGTGGCTTTTAAAAGCTGTTATACCTTAAGGAAGATGATTGCAGGAAGGAACAGCTGCCTTGGATATGATGTCATTAGAGCTAGACATTTTATTAGCCACAGAGTCTAACCAGGTGTTGTTCCAAACCACTGAGGGTGTAATCCTATGCATGTTTAGACAGGTTGGACACTTCCCAGCATTCCTCAATCAGCAGTGCTGACTGGGGAATGTTGGGAGTTGTATAAACTTATTCTGTCAAAATATTTATAGGACTGCCTCCTTAATGCTGTAATCCGCACTTAGAGTTCTGTGCTTCACGAGGAAGGAAAAGATGAACACCAGGTTGCCTGATTCTAAACTGTTTGATCTCACAGAGAGCTTGGACTTATACCCCTATCTGGGCAACAGAGCAGTCTCTTCAGCCAGTTTCTGCTTCTCAGACCTCCAGCTTCCTTCAGCCCCAGCCACTGATCACAAAATCTCTAAGCTTGAGAACAGAACCTGCAGAAAAACTTGGATGCAGTCAGACACCCACTGGCCAGCAAGTTCCAAATAGTGGACTGGCACATAACCTTTGGGTTACAAGAACCTAGCAAATGAATCAGTAGGCTGCAGCATTTGTCTGTTTGGAAAGATGTAAAGATGACAGGATGATTTTACATTCTGGGTTATGTGACAACAGCACCTGAAGGGAAGCAAGATTCCAGTGCTGCATCTCTCCAGATAAGGCCAGAGATGGATCATAATTTTGTAGAAAGATGTGTACTGATAGGAAATCCAGAGGTGTGGTAGAGAAATATTCTTGAAAATGGTATACTCCTGCTTCCTCCAACTTGATTGCAGCCAGGTGTGTTGTATAGCCATTAGCAGGGAATTATGGGAATTGATGTCCAGCAATCTGGGAAGCACTAGGTTGGGAAAAGTTAATACGCACTCTCATTTCTTTTGTCCCACTCTCGGTCCTGGTGTCAAATAGATTTTGTTGACCTTTGAAGCTCTACCAGAATTGCTGATCCTGTATGACTGAGGACAAGAGTAGGATACCCCAAGCAACGACGCTTCTTTCATCCCACATTCAACATCCTTTAACATTCAGTTTATTTTGTGACTCTTCAGTCTGTGTTTGAAGACTATAGTTCAAAAAGATGCTGGCACAAATGTCCTCTATTACTGTTTTCTGGCAGGGGAGCAGAGAAAGGATGAGGAAATGTGGAAAGACTGGATTTGGGCATGAGTCTGCAAATATGTCTGTAAAGTTTCTCCTTTGAACAAAAGACAAAAGAATGCATGTTCTGTCCACTGCCCAGCTGGTTTGGGAATGTAATGGGTACCAATGCGCTCCACCTACTAATCCAGTGTAATGTGTATGGAAAAAATGCAGATATGCTTCCCTGCAGATGGTTGTCCTGATGGACCCTATGGAAGATCCTGATGATGTGCTCCGTGCCAACCGCTCAAGAGAGAAATCCTATATGTTTGATGTGGCCTTTGATTTTGCTGCTACACAGGTAAGGGGCCCAAGCAGCCATGCTTGCTTACCAAGGACCCTAACTCAAAGTCGACAGGATGTGGCAGGTATATGTGACAGTGATCTGTCTTATTTCAAAATGGAAAGTTGTGAAGGGAGACTGAGAATTTAGTCAGAGGAAGGATGGGGAGAAATACATTTTACTCTGTGAGGTGTTTTCTGTTCCAAATCACGTTTTCCATGCTGGGGAAATTTTGCAGGCATCATTCCTGCTAAAAGTAGAAAAGTGAGTGGGGAACTATCCAGGGAGAAAGGTTTAAACATTGAAACCTTCCCCCACCCCATTGTTGCATCTTTCCCAATTGCAGCTTCCCATAGCTGGTTTCATTGGAAGAGCTATTCAGGAGGGTGTTACACGTGTCTGCCATGTAATGTCTGGTTCAGCTCTAAGGCACTTCTGTAATCCCAGCCTCCCTTTCCTGCTTGTCTCAGGTGTAGTACCAGGTGGCAGACGGGATGTCTGGGCCAAGCCACAAGCTCCAGTTTCACCAGCTCCCTTTCAAACTAATTTGCACATTCGAGAGAAACTGGAGCTCCTTGAGAGAGATCTGTCACTCCTCTGCCAGTTGTTCTCCTTGAGTAAGACACTGGGAAGGAGGCTGGGGTGGCGAAGATCAAGGAGGGAAATTTTATGGACCAAGGAGCATAAGTGGCTGACAGTGCATGTCCAAGCAGATGCCTTAGGTTGGGTGGGTACAACCATGCAGCAATTAATCCCCATTGCTCAGAGCATGATGGCAGAGAAGGAACACTGAATTCTTGGGTGCTGTGAGCACCTTTGCCCCGACTTTTTGTGAATCTGTAACAGTACTGTCAAAATGGCATGTTCCTTGGACTGTAAAGTGAATTCTCCAAGAAGGTATGAGCAGTTGCTACTAGAGGCAAGACTGCACATACAGAGAGAGGGCGGGGGGCAAGTCCCTTAGCCAAGTTGCTATGCTGCAGGTCCTTTTTACAAGAGTTTAAATTCTATGGATGTTGTGGTCATCCATAGAATATGTATTACCCAGTTTAGGTTAAAAGTGAATATTCCCAGGACCAAAATGTTTGGAGCTGCTTTTTCTGTTAACGCTTTCCCAGATAGGACACAAGGTCAGTGTAAAAAAAAAAAAAAGGGAAGGAGATACCTGTTTGTTTTAACTTGACAATGGCCAGTGATAATTCACTTTTCTGCTAACATGCAGAAAAGAAGAAAGGAGTTAGGAAGATTTTGATGAATCCCAAATTCATGTTTGAGTTGAGAAAAAATAGTGTCTCTGGTCGTTATAAAGGTACAGCAGTGAGCATTCCTTCGAAGTTCTTGCTTCCTGTACAAGCAAAAGTAATACACTAAGCAGAAGCTGGTAGGACCAGGCCAAGATAGTGCACTGTGCCAAGAGTTTAGGGATGCATCCAGGCCTTCTCTGTGCTATTAAAAACAATACTGGTGCATGTTTGACCTTACTAAAGGAAGCAAGATGAGTGGCTACATGAGAAAGAGCCTTCTTTGTTGTGGTGTCTCACTTCAGCCTCCCCAAAAGATTCATCTGGTGCCTTGGTTGTAGTGTTCTGGTGCCTAGCAAAACCATTTTTTTATCCCAGGTGTTTTAAAGAATCCATTCTAGATTTGTATGTCTGTTTCATTTATTCTTGAGCTGTTTGTTGTTTTGCATTGCATTGAATCTTTGCATTGTATTTTATATTTTAATAATTTCAGTAGTATTTTGGTCTTTTAACTGTTTGTAATCCACCCAAAGAACAGGTGTTATTGGCTGGATATGGAATGTAATAAATAAAGTAATAAATAATTCTCAGGTTGCACACTGCAGCATCGGCATCCCTAAAATGCAGGTTTCCCAAGACTTCACTTGAGAAGATTCCGCCTCCAAATAGAGAGTTAGAAACAGAGAGTTTGAAAGATCATTGGAAACTCTGAAGAATTTAATTGTTCATGATAATGAGACATTTCTTGAAATGCATCGGCACACAGAAAACAGTTGGAATTAAATCTTGCAGCTGTCTGGTTTTGTTTAGCTTTTACAGCTGCCTTTTTATTTTCTGTTAGACTTGGGTCCCTGTTTGTTTGTTTGTTTGTTTGTTTTTGCAGTGCACCAATCTTTTTTCAGGGCAACTTGTTTAACAGTCAATTAAAACAACATCGTACAGTACCAGAAAAGTGCAAAAAAGTAAAACATCAGGTAATGCAGCATAAAACCAGTTCAAATTAATAGCTAAGCTATTCTGTCTTGAGGAATGCTCAGTGTCTGTAGGAGAACTCACCACGATAGTATTTGAGCAGCTCTGCCATGCAGTGTTTGGCTTTAGAGCAAGTTTGTAGCTCAGCAAACGAGCTGGTAGTGGTAGAGGATTTGTTGATATTAGCTTCTTCAAATTTAGAGTATTTGCCTTCCTGGAAACAAACGGATTCATTGATACCCTCATTTTCTTATTTCCCCCCGCAGGAGATGGTTTATCGTGCCACCACCAAAGGCCTCATCCAAGGTGTCATCTCTGGCTACAATGCTACCATTTTTGCCTATGGCCCCACAGGTAAGAGAACTGGCTTAGCTCTGAATGTGAGGCACCTACGCGCTGCAGTGTGCTTTTGTGACAACCAAGCTCTGGATGCTGTAAGCATAGGCAGTTTTAGTTGTACACAAACCCCAGAACAGCTACTTCTGTTGTGGATAGGTATCTGCATTCTCTCTGTGTGAGGTAAAGTAGGATCAAGGGAAGACATCTTTAGACTAAACCCCTGGTTCAAACTCAGTAGGATTTGGGCTTTTTTTTTTTTAAAGGACCCATTACTTTTTAGAAAATGAACCTTCATTTGATTAACAACAGATCAACAGCAGGGGGTTGGACCCGATGGTTTTCATGGCCCCTTCCAACTGTACTATTCTATTATCTATAATTCTGTGATTCTGTGGAGAAAGAAATAGGTGTAAATGCTCTATTATTCAGTCCCAGAACAAAGTCACATGCATACCATGCCCTCATCTTGCTCCAGTGTAACTCATTCAGCCCATTCCCTTCTATTCCAGAAAACCAATTTCAGAGACTCGCCTGCCTCCAAAGTACATTATTATTCCCCATAGTTCATCTCTAACTATTCTGAGCACAAAAGCAAGAGAACTGAATGCCCAGAGAGCCAGTCACTTCCTCTACTTCGGAGGCAAGCAACTTGTGGCTTTCCTGATATTTTGGCATACAAGACCCATCAGCTATAGGGATGATGAGAGTTGTTGGCCAAGATTTCTGGAAGGGCAGTTTATCTGCCCCTGTTCTAGTTTACCTTATGGTAGTTTTCAGTGTGTTAAGAAATTACCTCTGTTGGAAAGTGAACCACAGAATTTATTTAAAAGGCAAATGTAAGATAAGCATTCCAACTTTTGATGGCCAAAGACGGAAATACGTTCCCTAGTTAGCAAACATTCCTTCTCCTTTCAATTTCAGGCTGTGGAAAGACCTATACGATGCTTGGCACAGACAATGAACCTGGCATCTATGTGCGGACACTCAACGATCTCTTCCATGCTATTGAGGAGACCAGCAATGACATGGAGTATGATGTGTCCATGTCCTACTTAGAGGTGGGTCTCTGCTTGGATCCAGGGATCTGGATGTGTGAGTGAGAGTAGGGAAGAGAGAGAAAGCGAGGGAAAGCACAGGTGGATGTGGTATTTGCTTTTTTGTCTCCCGCACATCGGCACACAACCAGTTTTGAGGAGCGCTCCAGTCGCAGCTGCACCCCACATTGTTTTGTTCTTTAGATGTGTGCAGGAAAGCAACTGGTGAAGAGGCTGACACACACGTGTGCAATGTGCAAACAAAGGTGTGGGTCTGGGATGCACAAACGACTGATATCCCTAAAGCTGGGCTGCCAGGAGCATCTCGAGCTCATACTTATTTGCATATCAGAGTGTTGTTCCCTTCTTGCTCCTTTGCCTTTAAAACAGGGGCAGGAAAGACTGGAAAGGAAGTAGCCATCACAAGAAAAGCACATTCGTGTCTTCAATCCTGCAGTTGTCCAGCTGTTCCTGCCTCCCCCCACCCCATAAGCTGTCACTCCCCTGACACCATCCTCCATCATCCTTTCTCCTTTTATGGCTGCTTTACACCATACTGTGCAGAGATAATCACCTTGGTGACACATCAGAGCACAAGCTAGTATAATATTGACAAAGGTTAGCAGCTTGCAACAAGCAGCCACCTGGCAACAAGGGCAGGAGTAAGCGATGGGCCAGGGCAGGCAAAGGAATGAGAGGCCCTTCCTGCTTTTCCCAAGACAAAACTGGAGCGGAGGAGTGACCTCCCATCCCATCCTCTGCCAGCTCCGTCTCCTTTCTGTGGCATCCCAGCTCTCAGCCTCCTCTCTCCTTCCCCTAAATCTCTCCAGGATTAATCAGAAATTAGGCCAGGGAAGCCACAGTGTTCAGAGAGCCCAGGCTGGCTGAAGGGCACCATGGTTGCTCCAGGCTGACCACTAATGTGACTGAACCTTCGGTGCCTCCTCCAAGCTCGTTGTCCGTGCGCCTTGGGGAAGAAACTGGATGACAAAGAGAGAGGGCCTCACTGCAGCCCTAACACTGATTGGATTGATGAGATTCCCACTCTTACGGCCAGTGCCAGGAATCCAAGGCCGTCACCACTGATTCAGAGGGAGGCCTCGTAACGAGTCATGGCCAACCGTGGCTTTCCAGCTGGTTGGTCTGTTCGGACGAGACGTTCAGGCAGTATGTCACCCTGTTTTCTTATCTGTGACCCAATAAGCAGCTGCTGAGGCCCCATTAGGAAGGGGAAGAGAAGAACAAAGGGCAACGCGGGCTGCCATCACGGCTCTGCGATTGTGCTTCCAAGAGTTTGGGGCACTGGCACTCAGTGGGTTTTATCCTGCTAACAGCCCATGCTGTGGTCACAGGAAGAACAAGTGCAGGGCAACTCATGCACCAAAAGTGGCTCAGGGGGTAACATCCTAGCAGCCCCTCCATTGCCAAATCCACGTCCCATTGTTCCTTATGGTAAAAAGGAAAAAGAAGAGAAGAGAAGAAAAAAGGGCACATGTGCTGGACAGGCAGAACAAAGAAGCCATCAGTCGGCACGTATCCATCGCACTCCATGGCAGCTTTTCCAAATGCGTTGGACTGCAGCCACAGGCTGGCTCAGGGCGGGGGAGTTGTAGCCAAGCACATTTGCAGAGCACCAGATATACCTGGATTGCAACTGTTAACTCTCTCTAAGGAAATCGGGCTGCCAGTGATGTCCTTGGGGTGCTCTCTAGAACCATAGATCAGCTTGGGTGCTGGAAATGTTCTTAGGTCTTACTTGGTTGTTATCCTGGTGATGTGGCTGCAGGGTGAAGCAGCACCTGCTTCCCCTCTCTTGCTAGCTGAGTTTCAACCTCGTAAGCATTTCCATCCTTCTAGTCTCTGTGACCGAGACCCTGACAGGCAAATGCACGAGAAGCCGATAGCCATCCCTTTCCAGAAGCAGCCAAAAGGCAGCTGAGGCTTGCCACAGAGCCTCAGCTGCTGTCATGGGCATCTACTCCCTTTCACCTCACTAGATCTATAATGAGATGATCCGGGACCTGCTCAACCCTTCCCTGGGCTATCTGGACCTCCGTGAAGATTCAAAAGGTGTCATCCAAGTTGCCGGCATCACTGAAGTGTCCACCATCAATGCTAAGGAGGTGAGTGAGAATAAACCATTGTATGCAAGTGGCGAAGAAAGCCATACATGCCTGCAGCCTAGTGATCCCAATTACCAAGTGTGTGTTCTACCTGTGTACTTTTTAGAGTGGCTGGTTGGGAACTGTTCTGAGTGAAGGTCCAAATCCAGCCCATTGGATTGAAAGAAGAGGCACCCTAGGTCAGACTTAGCCCAGGTTAAGGTCAGACTTAGCCCAGGATCTATCTAGCCCAAGTTCTAGTCTCCTGGTGTGGCCAGGGCAGCATGGTTTGTCCTTGTCTGTAGGAAAGCTTCCAGTCTAGCATCCCCACATTGTATCCTGGTTAATGACCCACAAATTATCAGATCCTGTTTATTAAATCTGACATTGATGTGGTTTATTGCTAGCAATTTGAGAAGATAAAGCCAACCCAGTTTGTTTGTTTGTTTGTTTGTTCTGCAGCTTATTGCGAGGGTGAGACAAGTATTGAACTAGGAATAAGGCTGAGTTTATAATGGCAGTTCTTGTTTGCAGTGGAGATTTAATTTTTGAGGTGAAAGGGGAAACCATAGTCTGAGATGGAATAAGACCTGTTATTGTCTTCCTCTGGATATTGGTTAAGTGGAGAAAAATTAGCCCAGTACTGCATAGCAAGTATTAGTGCTCGGGTTTGGACAGAGAGCCAACTCCTATGCATGTTTACTCAGAAGTAATTCTCAGTATGTTTGATGATGCTTACTCCCAGATAAGTATGCATAGGCCTACAGACTTAGAAGACCTGGGGGTGAAACTGCTAATATGGACTCTTTTACCTGGTTTCTCCCTAGCTGAGAAAGATGGCTATTAAGGATTTTGTTTATCTGGTTTTTCCTTAATAGCACAGCATGATTTTGCCAACAAGAGACTGAGTGGTGTAGTAGGACATGGAATTGCAGAGCACTGTTGTCTTCTATGCCCCTCGAATGCTTCAGCATCCCAGGGCATGGCTCCTTTTCTTCTGCCCTGGACTCCAGTGAAAATTCCCATGAGTTTTACTTGGCTCAAGATGTCCTCTTTTGCTTCTCCTTGATGACTGTATCCTGGGGATCTCTTCACCCACCTTATGCCATCATTCTGTGGGTGGCAATCACTTTGATTTGTAATGTTATTGCTCTGGAAGGGTTCTGCATTGCATAAGCCAGGTTAAAACCAATAGCGGCTTCTCATGAACAAACCTGTTAAGTTGCTTAACACCCTGTCCTGTTCTCCTTGAGAGACCAGGGAGGGAGGAGGATTCTGGACTCCCACTGCTGGACTGCCTGTTCATCCCAATATTCCTGTAAAAGCAGAGTCTGCACTGGCTGCAGTGGGAAACCGCTGGACCCTCCAGGAGAAAAGGATCCTTTTCCCACTCTAGAAAGCAGAGAGGAGGGGAAGCTCTGAGATACCACACTAAAATACTCTCCCGTGAGATGAAAAAGTGAGGAATAGTCTCCTTACAAATCTGCCTTACGTGGAAATGCGCTAAAGGCCTGCTCCTTTTGTCTGGGCTCTTCCTCTTTCCACTGGCAGTTGCACAGAAATGCCAGAGCTTGAATAATTATCCCACTTGAACTGCACCCAAAGGTCTCCATGGGTGCTGGATGCTCTGTTCCTTCAGTCACTTCTCCTCCATGCAGATAATGCAGCTGCTGATGAAGGGCAATAAGCAGCGGACGCAGGAGCCCACTGCGGCCAACCGGACCTCCTCACGCTCCCATGCGGTGCTGCAGGTCACCGTGCGCCAGAAGAGCCGCATCAAGAACATCATGCAGGAGGTGCGCTTGGGCCGACTCTTCATGATTGACTTGGCTGGCTCGGAGAGGGCCTCCCAGGTAAGAGAAGAGGGGAGGCAGTTCTCCTTCTCACCACCCATGGCAGGAAGCAGGGAAGGAAATCCTGGCAAGGAGCAGCAGGCACCTGATCCAGAAGGGTTGGTGCAAGACCTCGGTCCTGAACCCTGGCCGACCCCTGCGGTCGACCTGAGAATGGGCAGCTTTCAGGTCTGTGGCCAGGATTACCCAGTTACTCCAACTTCAAGTCTACAATTGCAAATGATGAAAACAGTGATCCATGAAGGGGAAAAAACAAGCATTAATAATAATTAATAGCATAACAAGAAATCATGATGCTTATTGATAGTATAAAATTGATTAATGGCCCCTCCAACTCAGGGAGGGATAGAAAAGGGATGCAGTGAAAGATAAGGGTGGGCTACTAACAAAGGTCAGCCTTCAGAAAAAGAAGATCCCAGTTTTATTTATTTATTTCTCCACCACGCCACAACTGAAGTTCTCTGAGTTGCTCACACCAGGTTATAGATTTGCCAGATGCATTAAAAAAGTGGTCTGTGGGGTGAAGTCTGCTGCCATTCCAGTCTTTCAGAAGGGCCTGCCAGAACTCACCCGCCTAACTGTGCAGTTCCCATGTGGAGTCCATCTAAATGGCCCATTTGGAACAAGAAGTGGCAAAGAAACCAGCTTGGGACTGAAATCCTTTTGGAACTGCCTAGGATATCCTCACTTCAGTAAGCGGGACCTCCTTGAAGAAAAGTGTGTGTGTAACTATACACAAGTCAGACATGCACTTCCGAATAAATCCGCACTCAGGGCTGTCATGCTGCTGTGCCTCAGCTCTTCTCGCACAGTTGCGCCAACGGTGCCTTCTCCTTTGCCCGCCACTGTCCTGTCCTGCCCCAGCTTCCTCATTCCTCTGTTCTCACCTGAACCTGCACCACCACCCCATACGTCTGATTCACCTCTGCTTTCTTTTCTTTTCTGCCCTGCTTTGCATCTGTGAAGCCAAGCGACGTGCTGGGGATGCCGAAGGACACAGATTCCAGCCCACTCTTAAACTCAGAGTCAGGGAAAATGCCTCAATTCGTTGCATGCCTGGTCTTTGCTGGAACAATGACTTCATTCTTGTACCCATCCTACTCGCCTTCCCCCACAGACGCAGAACCGCGGGAAGCGCATGAAGGAGGGAGCTCACATCAACCGCTCACTTCTGGCTCTTGGCAACTGCATCAATGCTCTCAGTGACAGGGCAGGTGTCAAGTACGTCAATTACCGGGACAGCAAGCTCACCCGCCTTCTAAAGGTAGGCACAGCGGAAGGCAGGACTGCCAAGGGCAGGGCGCAATTGATCCGCATGGCGGAAGGTGGGCATGGCCTGAGTGGACCTGCCCACTCTGTCACATGATCTTCGGATCATAGAATGGCAGAGTCGGAAGGGGCCAAGAAGGCCACTGGGGCCAACACCTGCTGTTGCAGGCCACCAGTTCACACCATTCTGAAGCAAGCCAAACTCTGGGAAGAATGTTGTACCTGTGTGTATTAGAGAAAGGACTCCTAAAAGGGATTAAACATTTCAATTTTTTAAAATGGCAGCTCATGCCTTTGCCTGCCCTATACACATGCTTGGAAAAACCTGCCCCTTGTCTTGTGTGGAGCAGCATATGAAAGCATGCATCATTGGCTGTTGCTGGCAGGGCAACAAAGGGCAGTAGCAGGATGAAGGGAACACACAGGCCCCCTTTTTTGTTGTGAAAACATTTTACAAAGGCTGTTGGAGCAAAGCTTTAGGGTGCACACAACAGCACCTGCAAATTATTTTGGAGAAACGGGTACCAAAAGGGGCCTGTTTGTTCCTTTCCTCCCCAATTCCTCCCTCCTCTAGCAGCAGCGGCAGCAGCCCACCAAGCAACCTCTGGCCTGGCAGCAGTCGCAGCAGGGCATGATGCAGTAAACGGAGGTGCTGCACTGGCCGATCAAGGCAGAGCTGCACACCAGCTTAGATCCATGTGTTTCCCCACGTGGGAGAGTGATAGTGAGCCAGATTCATCAGGCACCACCTTGGGAGCACATAGCCAGTAAGGCTATGAACTGGCATGAACTGACTTGTACACAACGTTCCTCATCAGAAGGCAGCACTGAGGGAAGGGGCCTTCTCTCCCTGATGGGGCCCACCTGGCATGAACACTGATGCAATTTCAGTGCCAAGCTAAGGCTTTCGTCTTCCTCAAGTCATTTGGCAGCACATGGTGAGGTTTTCATAGAATAGTAGGGTCGGAAGGGGCTTATAAGGCCATCCAGTCCCATCCCTTGCTCAGCGCAGGACTCCAAGTTCAACCATCCCTCTCAGATGCCTATCCAGTTGCACTGTGAATGTCTCTAGTGTGGGAGAGCCCACAGCCTCCCTCAGTAACTGGTTCCATTGTCGTACTGCTCTAACAGTCAGTAATTTTTTTCTGATATCTAACCAGAACCTGGCTTCCTGTAACTAGAGCCCTTTATTTAGTGCCCTGCGCCCTGGGGTGATCAAGAAGAGATCCTGCCCTTCCTCTTTGTGACAGCCTTTCAAGGACTTGCAGAGGGCTATCCTGTCTCCCTTCAATCTTCTCTTCTCAAGAATAAACTGGCCCAGCTCTTTCAAGCTTTCCTCACAGGACTTTACTTCTAGTCCCCTGGTCATCTTTGCTGCCCTCCTCTAAACTATTTCCAGTTTGCCTGCGAATTTTAAATTGGTCTTGATTTTTTTTCTTAATGATTATTTTAAATGTGTGGGTTTTATAATGCATTTATAAGGTTTAAATCTTTGTTAAGTAACCAAAGGGCTTCAGCTACTGGGGAATTTAGAAATGGAATAGAATGAAATAGACTGATGAAGAAATAAGCATCGCACTGCTCCACCCCCCTTATTGGCCACGCACCCCCCAAGGGCAGTAAACAGATTGGTTCAACTTGTTGCCATTCTCACTTTCTAGAAAATACTTCGATTTATACTGGGGTGTGGTTGCAGCCACAACTGGCCAATGCACTGCTTTCCTTTACTGTGTGCCAGAGTTTTGCCCTATTGTCATTGCTGCCTGTCTGTGGGGTTGTTTGAGGGCTGCCCCAAACTGCTGGGTTCTGGGCCTTTGCCTTAGAGTCCAGCCCTAGCAGTGCCACTGTGAGCATTACAAGAGAAGAAATCTTGGAAGGACCATTTTCCCAGTATGTTGTGGCTATGGGCCCTCAAGGGGTCTCCAACTTCTCTGAGAAAAAAACAAGCAGTGGTTAACAAAGGAAAAAGATTGATTTCAAAACACATCAAGCAAAGTAAATATTCTTTCTGGGTACCTGAGAATATTCTCTTTTGTTTTCCGCCCTAGCTGTGCCACTGTGTAGTGTGTGGGGTTTTGCGGGGAGACAAAGAAATTTTGGTTTTTGGTTGCAGCCTAATATTCACTGTGACATATAGTTCTGTCCTTCGTGCTTGTGTATTAGGAATCAGATAGCCCCAAATGTAGATCATCTGGGATTACAAGGCTATAGTTACCTGCTGTCGTTGTGTCTGGAGCATCGTGAGGCATGATGGGTATGCAAGGGGGCTTCGCCCGTTGCAAGCCTTGGAGTCCCAGGACCTTGGATAGCTCCATGCAGACAACTCTCCTTTGATGCCTCATGGACCGATAGGACTACCCATACTGGACTCAACCACCCCTTTATTCTAAGGAGGGAGTGCTTTAGACCAGAACCAAGCACCCTCTCACTGGCCAGTCAACTCCCACCTTGTTGTGTTACCCACACGAGGGGGCAAAGGAGTTCATTTTCTCAAGAGAATCTGACTGAGGATCCCCAAGGTCCCAGCTTGGTCAGCTTTGGCGTAAGGATCACTTGGCTGTCCAGCTCAGGCTTGGCATCAAGACCTGAGCCTGGGTTTGGCACCTCCATGTTCTTCCTAATGCAGTCAATTCCTTCTCCTCTGACTGCCGCCAAGTTTCCAGTGTGTGAGCCCTACGTTAAGCTCTACAGCCTTGCTCTGTTATCCCAGGACTCATTAGGTGGGAACAGCCGGACAGTCATGATTGCTCACATCAGCCCTGCCAGCAGTGCCTTCGAGGAGTCGCGCAGCACCCTAACCTATGCTGAACGTGCCAAGAGTATCCGCACCACGGTATGATCCTGCACTCCCTGTGCTTGCTTTCCTCATTCTCCTGTTGATCTAGAATTGTGACTTCCCTTTTATACATTGGGTTAGACAGGATCTGTAGTCTTTTATATGGATGAAGCTGATCCTTCAGTCCTGATTATGCACTTCAGATACTCATGTCAGGCACGTAAATACTTGAATCCAGTCTTGTATTTAAGAAATTGCCAGATAGCCACAAGCAACACGGAAATCCATGCAGACCAGTTATTCACAGTGGGCTGTCAAAAGGTCTGAGTTTTGTCTTCAAAAGTGCTGGAATACCCTTGACTTTTCCTCTCACATCTCAGGGTTTAAGGGACTATAACTTCAGTTGGTCCCGAATGTGGCATTGAAGATATTAGTGTATTTTTGCTCATGGGATCATATCACAGCAGCTTTGCACAGCTACACTGCTTACCAGTCTTTACCTGTGCAAAGTCGAAAGCACCAGTGATTCTTTTTCAATGTGAAACAGCTTGGGTCCAAACTGTCTTGGGGATCACCTCCTCTCATGCCAGCCTGCTCATACCCGAAGGGCTGCTGAAGGGCTCTTCCTGTATCTCACAGCAAAAAGGAGGCTTGGTCAGTGGGGACAAGAGGAAGGGACTTCATTGCTCATTCAGGCACAGTTGGCTCCCACTTTTGCTCTTTTCACCAGTTAGTAAGAAGGTTTTTGTTCCAGCAACTGGGTAGAGGATTCCCTATCCAAAGTTTTTGTTTCAATTGCTGAACCCATGTTTTCTCTCTGTGATTCATATGGAATGTTCCTGCATCTTATAAAAGGTTTCCATTCTCATTAGTGGCCCTGAGTGGTCCATAAGCACAAGGCAGACAAATAAATAAACGACAGATGCTGCAAACTTCATGTCCTGTCAGCATTTATATCCATCTCTCTCTCTCTCTCTCCCCCTCTCTCTCCCTCTCTCTCTCTCTGTGCATGTGTGCATATTGGCAGGTGAAGCGTAACCTTCTTAATGTCTCCTATCACATCGCCCAGTACACAAGCATCATTGCTGACCTCCGTAGCGAGATTCACCGGCTGCAACGCAAGATCGAGCAGCAAGAGCCACGCCGGCTGCGCCCTGACATCCGTAGTATCCAAGGTAGAAGGAGCAAGGGATGGCCTGGGGGTCAATATATGGGGGATTATGCCAGTTCAGAAGGAGAAGGCTGTCTGTGGCTTCTGGGCATGATGTCCACACTGCCTCCAGGATCGGAGTCCGCGTGCTGAGAGACAGCCACAGAAAAGGGCTCTTGCCCCCATGCCCTGCTTGAGATGGGCTGCTAAGAATGGTGGGCCATTTTGGGAAACAGGATGCTGAACCAGGCAAGCCTCTGGTCTGATCCAGCAGGGCCCATCTTACGTCTTTGCAGTGGAACCTTGGCTCACAAATGCCTCAGTTCACGACCAAATCAGGTCGCAAACAGAAATTTAAGAAAAATGTTTACTCGGGTCGCGATCTCTGCATCGGGTGATGATCTTGATCGCACCCATCTCCCCCCCAGCGCACCCGCGAGCGCACCCACCTATGGCTGCAATCACGGTTGCACTCATGCAGGGAGCATGGGGGTGATCGCGGTCATGCCGGGGGTGGGGGGGAGATGGCCTCGATCTTTGTTGTTCTTTGTCACTTTGGTTCAAATTTTTGTGATTAAAAAAATAGTTACAGAATGGATTAACCATATTTACATTGAACATTATGGGGAAATTTGACTTGATTCACGACCAATTTGGGTCACAATCATAGTCGTGGAACGGATTAAATTCATGAGCCAAGGTACCACTATATATTATAAAGTGTGTTATGGGGGACAGGGGGAAATTGGGTTGGTTGAAGCCCCCAAACATATTTTGAAAACTGCAGGTCATACAGTTTATACTTCAAACTCAAAAGGACCCCACTGACAGATAGGCTTGGTAGTACATCAAGACATTTTGGAGAAAGTGGATACAAGTGGTGAGATACAGAATTTGGTTGCCCTAGAACAGTGATGGAGAACCATTTGGAGACCGAGTGCCCAAACTGCAACCCAAAACCCACTTATTTATCGCAAAGTGCCAACACTGCAATAAAACCTGAATATTGATGTTTTAGGTTAGAAAAAACAACTCACAGTCAGTCCAAGCAAATGTGTATATATATCTTTGGCAGTGCACTGATTGGCCATGCAAAAGGTTGGAGGAGTCGTGGCTAATGAGTCCTTTCAGAGCATGTGCATGGCCCCCATGTGCGCTGTTATCCGATGCTCAGCTGCTGGGCGATGCTGGGGCGACTTGGCTCACGTGCCGACAGAGGGGGTTCTGCGTGCCCAGTGTGACACGCGTGCCATAGGTTCATCGCCACTGCCCTAGAAGTACTTTGGAGGAAACAGAAAAAGAATATGTAGCTTCCTGTCTCTCTCTCCTCTCTCTTTCTCTCAACATTTTTGCATCTGTTGAAAGCTTCTTCTCCCCCTACCCTTGCCCACGGTGCATCTCAGCTGAAGTGCAGCTCCACAGGAACCCCTTTGAGAGGCAGGAGATGGACCAGCTCCGGCAACAGCTGATCAGCACCTTTCGGGAGCAAATGGATGTGCGGCGCCACCTCATGGAGCTGGAGAACAATTACATGGAGATCCAGATTGAAAGCTCCCGCCACCTGCTTACCATTGCCGAGTAAGCCGAGGGCCAGGGCAGGCAGGGCATGTTCCAGGGCCTCTGGAACAGCCCTGTTCAAATCCTCAGGGTCAGCCTGCACTGGCTCCTAGGCTGTCACTGTCTTGTGACGGGTAGGAGAAAAACATGTGTGGGTGCCCTTATTGCCTGTCTGCTGACAAGCCCTGGTCCTGATGCATGCCTTCCATCTTCCTTCTCCCCACCACCCTGCCCACCTGCCCTGCCCCACGCTGCAGCTGGGAGCAGGAGAAGGCCCGTCGGGATCAGAAGTGGCGAGAGGAACAGAGGAAAGAGAGCTACAGCAAGGATGAGAGCGAGAAGGACTCTGACACCGGTGATGACCTGTCAGATGTGCCAGAACCACCGGAGGTGACCTCAGCGCGGGAGCACATCGCCACCCTGCTGGGGGAGCAAGATAAGCTACATAAGCAGAAGGTGTCAAAACCCACAGCGATTGAGGGGTGTCCGCTAAAATGGGGAGAGGAGGGAGCCCAGGATTGCTGCCGCAAGGCTATGGCCGCATGGGTGGGGTGAAGGCGTCACCTCTAGCGTAAACTTTGCTGTGCCTGCTGGCCCCGTGACCTTGCGCAACTCTTCTCTGTGCCAGGCAGAGCTGGAGAGGAGGTTCTGGGAAGTCCGGCAGCGTGGGCACCGGCTGGAGGAGGCCTTGCCGTGGCGCATCAGCTCGGAAGAGCAGCGGGAGGTCCTGAGCCTGCTGTGCAAAGTCCACGAGCTGGAGGTGGAGAACACAGCCATACAGTCCGGCGCCCTGCTCAAGGACAACCTCATCCGCCACCAGGAGCGGACCGTGCGCCGCTTCGAGCGCCACCGCAGCCTCTGCCACCGCATCATCCACGAGCAGCGGCAGGTCATTCACGGTACGGCCCCCGCTGCCACTTGCCGGCGTTGCCCTAGCGCTGTGCCCCCAGTCGCGCGCTGCCAGAGTCATGCATTCGTGTGCGGCAGAGTGCTGTCAAGGTGGAAATCTGCTCCCACAGCCCATCTCTCTCCGGAGCATTTTCAAGCTCCATGAGACTCGGAGTGGCCCTTTCTGTTGGACGAAATCACTCCACCCACTGCTCTGTGGCAGGGTGCAGTGCTGCGAGGTGCAGCTTGATGCCCTGACTCAGACCGATGGTGCCAAGGCAAGAGGCCCATTCTGAAGGTCAACCATGGCCTAGAACATTTACTGATTGATTGATTGATTGATTATTAGGCTATTTTTATCCCATCCAATACGGATCGCCTCTGGACGGCTTACAATATGATAAATGCCTAATAAATACATCAACCAATAACAAGATAAAATGCAACTGAGACCATTTCTAGCAGTGGTCTCTGTCTCCATCCCACTCAGGCCAGGGACTAAAACCGACACGCAACTGGAGTGTTTGCTCCTTCCATGGGTAGCCCTTCTTTTCTCTCCTCTCCCTGTCAGATTCTCAGCTGTGTGTGCCATCCCACCTGGAACAGCTGTATCAGACCTACCTGCACGAACTGGAGGAAGGTGGCTTAGACCGTGTCACCATCATTGACCGTGCGGCTGCTCGAGCCCTCAAGGTACTGCACAGCCCCCGGGTCTGAATCCAGCGCAAAACACATTGAGCTGCACTTGCATCCGCTTTGAAATGCTCACCTGGGCCACACTGTCTGCACCTTGCAGGAACCAAGGCCTATCAGCCTCCCTTTATGAAGGAAATGCCTGGTTTGGCTTTACCTTACCGTGTATTATTAACTAATCATATTTACATGAATTTTTAATGAACATTGTTACTAGACTTTCCTCTTTTTCCCTTCAGACACAATACAGATAAAATAAGAGGAGTGGGTTGGGGAGATGAGACCAAGTTGGCACACGTTGAAAGGTACCCATACTTTCTCATCGACACTCAAACACACATAAATCTCTAAAGTCTGCTGTCTGTGATGAGCTGTGTGTTGAAATACAGGATGGGCAGGCCACTGAAGAACTAAAGTGGTGGACTAAGACTTCCAGTTTAGAAGCTTAATTTATTTAGCTCTGGGGAGTCCTGTCAGAATCCACTTTGGTCAGCTGATAAATCCCAAAGTACAGGAAAGTAATATGGAAAGTCATGAATTTACCAAATTTAAGGATATTTCAGTGAAGTTTCCACTATAAAACGGATAGGCAGAAATACCTTCATCCAAACAGGATCCACTGCAGGACATGCCCAGATCCAACGAGGGAGAGCTATGGAATCAATACCAGAGCACAGATACCTGGCAGATATGGCCGTGCTTTTCCTGAAGAGATAGCCGGACTTCTCATGAGTACAGAACGGCAATTTGTGCTGTGTTTGTGTTTCAGTTCAAGAGGAGCATCATGCACAGAAGCAAGGGCAACCTCCCTTTGTTTCATGCACGGGACGTTCCAGTTCCACTGCTCTCTGTTGAGCTGCACATCAAGTGTAGCCTAGCCTCAACCCATGCAAGTTCAGACCAAAAAGCAACCTACAACTCCCATCGTGGGCTTTCTTCTGTCTACACACGCATCAGATTAGCCCCTTACTCATGTCCAGTAATAGTTCTTAATGCTACGTTGTAGCCAGTTTAATGGGGTGGAGGTTATATATGGTTATACAAGTTACATAACATGTATTAAGATATATCACTTAATATAGAATCTCTAGGCAGTTTGTGTAAAGCTAAAGCCTTGGGCTATTTGGACCTGGCCAGGCACTGCAGCCTTTCTGAGATCCTCACCAAGGCCAGGCCCGCAGGCAGAGGGGCTTTCTGACATACCCACCTTCAACAGAATTCAAATCAAAACAGAGGCAGCCCTCACAGTCCAGTCATCCTCACCTCTGCTTGGATCCTTGGACATATCGCTGCGTCTGAGTGGAATTGTCAGGAATAAATTAGAAGCTGGCGCCTGGAGGCACCAAGCAGTTTGTCCTGTTAGAGGAAAAGCTATGGATGGGTTTCCTAACGCTGTTACTATTCCCTCACAAAATCCTCCACAGGCCATCAGCTGTGCTTTTTCAGCAGAGAATGCCTCACAGAATTGCTTTTGCCTGTAACTGCAGACCGTCAAGTGTGTGCACTCTTGTCACCTGCAGGACACATCTGTGCCAAAGCTCCCTCCGCTCCCAGTGGAAAACATCCTGGACTCTGACCAGGAGAGTGTGAAGACGCTGGGCTCGGAGTCTCAGCAGCTGCCCTGGCGGGATCCCCGGAGGGGAGCCCTCCCTCCCCTCATCCCGGAGACTGACAGGTAAGATCCATTTGGGACCCCCTGCGCACGTGCCTGCTGTGGGTTGCAGGAGGGACGTCTCAATTTGGCCTTCCCCTCACAGCATACCAGGACTGGTGGGTCGCCAAGCCTCGATAGCAGGCTTCTGCACTTTACGGGTAAGCAGTCCTAGAGGGAAAGAGCACTTGTCAGCCAGAAAAAGGGGGAATGCACAAAAGGGCACAGGAAAGGCACCAGAATGCAGAAAATACACCATTGCCCCCATTCTGACCTGTCCTCTTCCTCGCAGCCTCGATTTTTTCTCTCTCGGTCCTCTCCCCAAGCACCCATGAGCCTTTCTCATCTCAGCCTTGACTCGCACCAGAGCTCTCTTTCCTTACCTCTCCGTTTCACGCCATTGCTGCCCTGTTGCTCTTTATGGCAGATGAAGCCACTCGCTTGAAAGCCAGTCCACCAGCCCCCCATGAAATCACTTCACTTCAGTGGACTTCCTCGTGCCCACACGGTCTTCCTTGCAGTGGTCTGTCCTGAGCACCCGGCTCCAGGAGCAGTTTCCTGCTCCCGGAAGGGTGAGAGAGTGTAATGAAGCCGAGCATGCTCCATCTTGCTCCGAGGGGAAGTACGGATGTGATGCCGAAAGACCTCCAGCTTTCTGTTGAGCTTTTTGCTCGGCACAGGTCACTTCTGCCACGTGCCTTTTTTGACCAGGCCCCCAGGATCTGAGGACTGTATCAAGTGAGCTGCAACGCTTCCTCTTTATCAGAGCAGCTGCTTTGCCTCTGGAAGGTCCCAAGTTCAGTCTCTGCTACCTCCTTGCAGGGATGCCACCAGTCAGTGCTGACAAAACTGGGCTAGATGGACCAAGGGCTGGGCTAACTATAAGGCAGTTCCCTATTTTAACAAAGTCTCTTTATCGCTTCATGGATCCTTATGAGAAACCCTGAGCAGGGGGTCTGCGGGAAGGCAAGCCAGACATGTTGTTAGAAATAAGGCATGTGGGCAAATGACATTTCAAGAATGGCACTCTGATCCTTGTGTTGCAGAAGAACAAATAAAAGATCTGTTGTCTTCTTAAACTGCATCACCTTCCTCTCTGAAGAAGAACCAGCCTGGCTGAACCCCAAAATCAGCATAGCGTGATGTGCTTTCCTGCAGTTCTCAGCAGGAGGAAGCACGTTACCTGTGGATCAGCAGTGGCTGACACTACTCTGCTCCACCAGTGAGCATGTTTAGGACCTGAGGGACAGAGAGCCAGGGTGCTGCGGTAGTTAAGAGCACGGGGCTGGGACTCGGGAAATCCTGCTCAGGCATGCAGGCAACTGGGTGGCTTGGGACCAGTCACAGAGTCTCAGCCCATCCTACCTCACAGGGCTGTTGTTGTGAGCATAAGATTTCAAACAGCAGGAAGAGAATGCTGCAAGCGCCTTTGAGGTCTTTCAAACAAAAAAAGTGACTTATTATTATTAATAAGCCCAATGAATAAGTAATACAGCTGAGGACAGTTGAACTGCTTTGTGTAGAAGGCTGGAGAAAGTTTTCAAAAGGGTGAAAGCTCCCTTGTCTCCCAGAGGAGGATCGTGAGATGACCGGTGCATCTCCCCTTAGAGACGTGGAGCTGCTTTCTCCATCTGGCTTAGCACCATTAAGCTAGCAGTGTGTCCTGGCTCCCTCCAGGCTGGAAATGACGGAGATTCAACCTGAGACCTTTTTCAGGCTAGCCGTGGCCTCTGCAACTAATCTGCAGCAGCAGCATGGGCTGAACACAGGGAACTCTTTGGCCCCAAGGCAGGGCAGAAGAAGGCCTGTGGCAGCAGACACAGGCCCGGGAAATGTCCATTCCTGCCGGACAGCCACAAAGCATCTTGCACGCTCTCAGGCACACGCAGGTGTCCTCTCTTTGCACGTCAGCGGCACAGCCCAGTGGCTTTGCGTCTGCATCAGAAGATCCAGCTCAGGCCGGGCCTTAGGCTCCCGTGCAGTCTCTCTGAAATCAGCGCCCTCCAACTGTCTTGCAATGCAGCTCCCATCATCCCCGACCCTTCACCACGCCAGCTGGGAATGCTGGAGCTGAGTCCGGAGAACTCAGAGCCTCTCTTGGAAAAGGATGTTGCCATCGTGACAGGCGGGTGTCCATTCTCGTTTCAGCAGTGAAGCCAGCCAGGTGTTCAAGACAAGTCCTCGGGCCCGGCAGATGAAGAATTCTGCCGTCGTGACGCCACCCCCCATCCACGTCAACGGCATGGTCAGTCAAGAGGTACGAGCAGCAGTGAGGCAGAGGCTGGAACTGGGGAGGCAGTGCTCCTCTGTTGCAAGCCAGCACGAGCACTCAGCTATAGTCAGAGGCAGTGCCACCCAGTGGGTAAGGCTGTGCAAAGATCTCTCACTGCACTCCAAGCAGCATCCTGAACTGGGAAACGAAGAGCTGCAGTAAGCTGGGAGCAAGTAGGATGGTGGCAAAATCCAGTACTGGCACCCAGTTGCAGCAGGGATGCCGTACCAGGTGGGGAGGCACAAACAAGAAGGAACCGGCAGTATTTGGCAGGAAGGTTTTTCTCTCTGGACTTGACCCACCTCCCTTCTTCTCCACAGTATGTGCCCCGAGACAGTCTGGCCAGCCTGGGTAGCCAGCGAAATTCCTCTCCGGACAGCAGCGATCACTGTTCCGATGGCATCCCCCCAACTCGCAGAGGTGACTGTAATGTGGATTTTTCAGGGCAGGGCCGGCTCTACCGTTGGGTAGGATGGCAGTTGTTGCAGTGGGCAGAGGACCGGAGGAGGTAGCAAGGCGTTGAAGGATGGAGTCTCCCACCGTCAGGTGGAGCAGAGGATGCTGCCGCCCCACTGCCCATTCCAAAGAAAGACGGAATTCTCACTCCCGTACACTTTTGTACACTGCATGTGGGGGGCTGCCACTTTGTCCTTTGCGTCTGGCGCCAAAGCATCTGGGGCCCACCCTGTTTGAGGGCTAAATATTTCCCCACGAACCCGTGCCTGGTCTCAGTCAGAAGCTGGCAATCGTAAGATGGTGCTCTTTTTAGACCCAGTTTCTCACACTGCCATTGGAGAGGGATTGCTGTAGTCCCATCCCCCTTGGGCAGAAATGTAATGGGGAAATGGGGAGCCCCCCACTTCACATTCCCAAAAAGGCAGCTGTGCTGCTGTTGCATCCCACAGGCTGCTTGGAGCCTGATCAGGGACCCCCAAAGCTTGGGCCAAGGAAGCGTGCGTTTGCAAATACATTCTGCCAATCTTTTGGCATGTGAATCCTGCAGTGGCAGAACGCAAGGAAATCACGAGTGGTACCAAAAGCATCGCTGTGAAGGCGGCCCGGCGCCGCTCCCGAGTGCTGGAGTCCGACCGGCTGAACCTGCTGGAGCCGACCAAGGAGCACAGCAGCCTGTCCCTGCACTCGCTGAGCGAGAGCGAGGACCCACTGTGCCGGGAGACCCCTGCCCTCGGCCGGCCCGCCAGCCCCAGCCTGCAGCACGCCATCAGTGAGGACAACCTGTCCAGCAGCACCAGCGAGACCATCCCCAGGAGGAATGGCCCCAGGCGCTCCCCCGGGCCCTGGCTGCGGGCCGGCAAAAAGGGAAGCAAGAAGCTCCACAAGAGGGAAGAGTCCCTGGAGGCCAAGAAAAGGAAACGGAGGTCACGCTCCTTTGAGGTCACTGGCCACAGGGTAAGGTTTGGGGTCCCAGAACTGAAGCCTGCTGGGGACTGACTGCTCTAGCCAGACTGGGGAGAGGGGGCTGCCACCCAGCTCTTCCCATGGTCAGTCTAGAGCTGAACCAGGTTTCCACAGCGGCTTTTGTGCTGTGATCAGGAGTGGGGGGGATTTCCCAAGCAGCCTGCAGGCAAACGCTCTTCTGAGGACCTCCCCTGAGCCTCCGCTGCCCTCTTCAGGATGCACGGTGTCACCCTTGCTTCAGTCCCCTACAGGCAATCCACAGGGGGGTTAAGTTCTCTTTTCCTAAAAGCAGCCTTTTAGGAAAGGGTTCATGTGTGATCGTCCTACAGCTCTGAGATTACAAGCTACAAACATGCCCAGCCAGGCTAGAGTGCCTTCCTCGCCCACGGAGCCCATTTTGAACAGCACAGAGGGCTTGGGAGGAACGTGTGTGCAGCCTGGGTTGCTTCAACTTGGTACTCCAACATGAAATGAAAGGCAAGAACGCACGTGCAGGAAGGCTCCGTCTGTGAAAAGCAGCCTGTCAGAAGGCCGCTCTTGCAGAATACATGAGCAACACAGTAGGGCGCCTCTGCCAGCAGGGCCTCCCCTCCAAATGCTCCTTGCACATGCGCCTTCATACGAAACCTTTGTGCAGTTAGAGAGTCCCCCAGTCACAAAGCCCCTTCTCAGTCTGCATGTGTCTCTAACCCCCACCTGCAGCTCCCATGTCCAAAGAACAACGCTGCCCGCCGGCACCCGCTGGAAAGCAGTTCCGAGCACAAGATCGTGGCGGCGGGAGGGGCGCACAACCCCCGCAGCATTGGAAAGCCCGCAGTGCCGCTGGCCAGAGTCAGGCTCCTGCATGCCCAGCCATCTTCAGGTGGGTGAGCCGAGGGGCGTCGGGCTGGATCTTGCCCTTCGCTGCTGCGCTGCATGGTAGCAAAGTGCCCATAGGTCATCGCGAGGCACTGGGGTGCCGAGAGTACGGAAAGCCTCTGTCCTCCAGAGCACGTACAAGGACTCGCCTTCATGCTGTGCGGCGATTTAGCTAGGATAAGCATCACCACACGCTTGAGGGTTGGAAAGTTGCAGGGGAGGCACAGCTGGATGGAAGCCTTCCAACTGATGTGAAGGTCGGAGTGACTTGGGGGGCTTCCAGAGGGCTCCTAGTCCAGCCGAAAGTCATTTTAAAACTCTTTCATTTCCTCCCTAATGTCTGTTGGGGTGGGAAGGACAAAGGCAGAAAGAGTAGCAGTGAGAAAATGTGGAAGGATTACAAATGGAAGATGCTGTCATGTGGTTTTCCCCGTAAAATCTGTGCCTGAGGCAAGATGATCGCACAATAAAAGCCTGGTCTGGAGGCACCCTTTATCATGGAGGAATTTCAGGAGCATGTGGGTGAGAAGCCAGCCCTGGTTAGCATTCAGATATGATACAAATAGGCATGAATTCCAAGGATTCTCCCTCTCCTGTTCTTCCCTTTCAGGCCCCAGTGAGGCCTCCACTCTCTCTGTCACGTCCAATCAAGCTGGTATCTCCAGGAAAACCCAACCAAGCCAGCGCCCACCTCGTCTGAACTGTAGCACAATGAACAGTACCGACCCTCCTGGCAAAACCTGCAGGAACCGGCGATGCTAAGAACTGAGGAGACTCAAGCAGCTTGAGAGGCTGCCCCAGGGAGCTGCTTTTGGTGCCCAGTCAGGAGACGCGGTGGCGAAAGGCATTGCGGGAAAGTAGCACACTGCAGAAATAGCTGTGGCAACCGCACGGAAAACCCCCCAACAGGTTGCCTGCTTGGTTGCGAGTGCTCCTGTCGAGACTGGGTCTCGCCACAAAGGCCTGTTCAGCTCCGGGACTGGATCCCTCAGATGGAGATCATTCGTGCTGCGGATGGGCAGAAAAACGCCTGCCACCCAGAGACATCCAGACAGAACTGAAGAACTCCTGACTCCACTAGCATGCGTCTCTTCTTGAGATGGAGGCTCTTACCTCTGTGTTGTGCCTTGCACTTGAGGAGAACAGAGTGCCGCAGCAGCTCTGCGGCCTGCTGTGAGACAGGCTGCCCCACAGACAGTGTGTATATGCTAAGTAGCCAGGCACACTCCTGAATTAGCAGCCTTTCAGAATATCTCAATAAAGGATAGGCTCTGGGGAATGAAAGGGGCAACACCCGAAGCCCCCCCCCCCCCCGATTTCTGGTCATGATCATGGTGGAAGGTGGTCTCCTGGTAAGAGGCATTTGGGCTCCTTGAGCCATGCCTAGTTTCGTGAACTAGGTCTTTGATGCACCATACAGGTCTATTCAGGAACTATGATGTCATTCATTAGACAGGTAATGTCTTCAGGTGGCAGGAACTTCCTGGTGAGCCTGTTGTTGGGTTGGATGCCGTGAAGCCTCCTTCAGAAGCACTTTGTCATGGGAGCTGCAGATAGTCCTGCAAAATGTGTGCAGCAGAGTTTCAAATCTTGCCGTTTTATGTCTAAGGAGCTGCAGTGGGCCAGGAAAGAGAAGTGTGCATTTGCCAATACCAACCCCAACGCGTTTCCGGAACTCATCTTCAGACTTTGGTATTCCTGGCTGTTGGTGCTGGGTCGATGAGGCTCTATTCCCACGAAACACACGATACGATGTCTCATCTAGCTGGCCGAGCCCAAGGGTCCCATACGGGGGTGGCCTTAAACAGGTGCACATGGGTTTGTGTCCATCAGTCTTGCTGGTGTGTTGGACTGAAACTCCCAACATCCCCAGCCAGCATGAGTAGTGACATAGCCGTGCTGCCTGGAAATGGTGAGAGTTGTCGCCCAACACAGCTGGGAGCACCAGCTTGGGAAGGGCTGATGTACATCTTAGGATATTTTGCCCCCTATTAAGGGAACAATTGCAGGTAGCACAGTGGGCTCCCCCCAGAAGCACTCTTCCTCTTCCTGCCCAGCTATGATGCCTATAGGTTTTCTCACAAGATATAGCCCTAAAAAATCATTCCTACTCTCACTTCCCAAGATACTATTCTTCATGTGACTCCCTTCCCCCTGGGTCCTTCTTTGTTCACTGCTGTTTACCTGCTGTTGCTGCTGTACTAAAAAAAAAGATGAAATGAAGTATCTGTTCATGATCTATGTCTGAGGACTGGTTTGGGAGCACCCCCTTCTAAAATCTCCCCACTGTAGAATTGGTTCAGTTGTGGAATGGCTGTTAACAAAACAAGGTATTGGCCTAGAATCCCTTCCTTGCTCTTTTTCTGAAAGATTTTCTAGCTGTGAAGGCAGACTTCTCATGCCAGGATGTCAGAGCTGTAAATCTGGGCTTCCTGTGACCTCAAATGTGTGACTAGGCCTGTACAGTGACTACCAGCCTTCACCTAAATATTCGTGCTGGGCTGTGTTCGTGCAGCACCGGGTCAAGTTCAAGCACTCTGCGGCACTAGACTGGTGCAGCAGCCACTCCTCCTCTGACCACACCTGGCTGTGGCACAGCAAGTCTTGAAGCTGCATTAGGTATCGGGGGGGCGGTGGGGGGGGGGGGCGTTCTCATGCCATCTCCTTTTTTTGCTGCCCGGGCTGCTTTATACACATGCTCCTTACTGCACAAGAAATGCAAGTATGTGTGAACTGCATCGTTTATAAATAGCACACGTTGTGATGTTCCTGACACACTTCTGCTAGCAGGACAGACTCACTTTGCATACATTAATTCAGTAATAATTAGAACAGTTCCTGTGATAAGGACCAAACCAGGTGAGATAGTGGGCAATCTGCTGTTTGTCGCGTATTAAATGGTGAATGCAGGTGGGGGGAGGGGGGCAATTCAGATCTTACTATGCATTGGGCAGGCATGGGAGACAGGTTACTTCTGTGCTATTTTCCCCACTTGCAATCACTCCCCAAGGTTGCTCTTTGCCCAGTAGGGCAAAACCAAAAGTACCCAGTGGTATCTGCATTGCAGGAGGAAAAGATTTGTCATCTCCTTCTGCCGGAACTATGATCTCAAACTAAATCCTCTCCATGCAGGGGCTGCCCTTGCTTCTTTCTTGCTGTGTGTATGTGTGTGTGGGGATGGTGGGGAGGGGAGGGGAGGGGAGGGGGACCACAAATTGTCATTTGAAAAAATCCATAGGAGAGTCAGTCATGGATTTTCTGCCATCTTGTCTTGTGCCATAATCGGGTAAGTATTATTATGTGAAGATAATGACTTGGTCTGAGGAGTTTATGTCTGAGCGGTGATTTGAAATGGAAACTCCCAGCTTGTGCTCTTATGTACTTGGTGCCTACATGATCCTCCCTCGGCTGCCACTCATCTGTATTTTGCTAACAAACGCTGCCAGATGCATGCACTGCCATGCCATTAGTCAGTGAGGCTGTTCGCCGTTATTTGATACGCTTTGCCCCAGGACAACCAGTGATGTACATGGGATCCTTCGCATCAGACTGCGCATTGCTCTGATCTAAGTGGATACCCTTGGAGTATAGGAATGAAGACTTTTATAGAAGTGCATTTGTGCAGCTAAACTCTGGGTCGCTTACACCTAATTAGTTAGCATTCCTTAAAAGGTTGTACACAGCCTCAAGGCCAAGAGTAGATTCCTTTGCTCTGAAAGGTGTGCAGGTTATGGTAGGTGCAGGTTTGAAACTGTTGTAAGAATTGTTTACAGAGGTAGCTATGGTAGGTATTTCAGATCAACACTATGAACAGAGGTATGTGTGCATATGTGGGTTACAACTTCACACTAAGAACTGTCCAATGAATGCTTTTTTCTCTTCTAGACAGGAAACATATTGCTGATGCATGCCTGATAGATCTATCAAAGCGAGACAGATCAATTAAATGTTCTCCCTCTCCCACACATGTGTGCACACACACTCCAAAAATAACAACTTCCATTCCCTTTTTCAAACATTATGATATTTCAGTCACTTCCAGCCAGTTTAGGCTGGTGGGAGATGAGGACAGAAAGAAAGGCTTAGGTTTTTGCAAAATCTGCACTATGAATAGACCTGACCCCACCCCCACCCCCAGTGCTATTGGAACAAGAGCAACTGCCCCTACCTGGAACTTTAGGAAAGGAAGCCACGTAAGTATGCAGAAGACAGAGCCACAACAGAAACGGGAAGGGGGAGACCAAGAGAGGAATGGGAGGAAGATGAGACGCTAGCGTGCGAGCACTGGTGGGGCAGAAACATGTGAGGGAAGCTTGAGAAGAAGACAACAACATCTCCTGAAGGCAAGAGTGGGAAATAATTCCCCTCTCGGAATAGCACCACACAGTCACTCCAACGTGTCTCCAGTTTTTCATTCAGAAATCTCTCACTGATGAGCCACGCCAAAGGCAGGTAATGCAGGGGTAGCAGGAGTGCCTGGAACTGGTGAGAGGTCCTGTCCTGCTGCATCTTCTCCAGTGCCAAACCAGGATTCCACCATCGCTGAATATCACCAGCTTCAAGCCAAGAAGGGATCATGATGCGCACAGCCCGAGCTGCTGCATAATGCATCATGGCAGTCAATCCTGCCCCGGCTCTGCTCTTCATGGACTGAACTAGCAGTTATGACTAAAAGAACTGCCATTCTGCTTTCACAATTATTATGTTATCCTCAACATTAACCATGTGTCCCTTTGCTAGGAAGGGCAACTTGAAAGTGATAAAATCTGCAAGACGATGATGATGATGACGTGGACAATAATTTTTCCCAGGTGATGCAAGTAATGGCTCATCTCCTCCTCCCATGTTTATGCCTGCTAAAAGGGTTTTTTAAATTTTTGTAATGTGTCAAGAATCTGCAAAACCTGCATGGCTGCCTGCAACAGTTGGGCAAGGAAGTGTAGATGTACACAAACCATAGACAGCCAGGCCCCTTTCAACGCTTAACAATGAGTCTCTAACTGAGATCTGTGCAGACAAACTGGATTATGCTGATACGAAGACAATTGTGTTGGTATGATGCTTCACATAAAGCAATTTCTTGCCTTCAAAGATCCCTCCAGCTGGTATCTTAATGTACTATGGGAGTTTGGGGAGTGCTAGAAGATCTGGAGATATAAACACACGAGAATGAGAAGAAAAGCTCAGTTTCAAAAGTATTCCAAGGAATTTTTTTCTGCCAGGGTGCTGCTTTCTGTGACTACGTCCATCCTATGGCAACACAAACTTCCGGGCAGGACAAGCATATGAGAGATTCTAAAGGAGGGGAGAGAAAGCACTTGCTGAGGGCAAGAGTTTTCTCTGAGAATGTCCTATTGAAAAAGCACCACTGAGATTCTCAAGTTCTTCCTGAGATTCTTAAAATAAGGGGAAGGAGCTATATATAAGCGGCAGAAATGGATAAGGGAACCCCCACGCCCAGCTATGATCTTGTGTTTAGATTTCACACCTATCTTTAAAATATCCCCAGATTCGCAGTTGGGGAAGTTAGTTTTGTGCAAGAAGCACTCTGTGCCACTCCGGCACACGCCGATTGCAAGATGCAGAGCCTGAGTTAGCCAGCCGAGTCTTGCATGGTGGATTTGTTGCTGCTCTTCAGTGCAAACCAGTATATCTTGCCCTGCCTTGTCTTGCTCTTCGCTTCTACTTCTTGACCTTGATTAGAGAATGGTAGACGGGTTTGACGATGATATGCAGGTGCAGAGAGTTGTCGATGAGGTATTCAGAGGTGCGTTTCTGCAAGTCAGCGTGCAGCAGGAAATCGGCCACTTCGTCTGTGCTCTGGTGGAAGCTGTAGGCATGTTTGACGAAGACTTTGCCTTGCTGCCGCACACCCACCAGGATCGTCTTCTGGAAACTGACACCAGCGAAGTCAGAGCTGGTGGTGGCCGGAGTGATAACCAGGCGAGGGCGCCCATCCTCAATCCTGATCGACTGGATGGCCCCAGAGACGGAGTCAGAGTAGACGGGGCGCAGGCTGACCGGAAGCCAACGTGGGGAGAAGAGGACGTTCCAAGTCACCCTCTTGGCAGAGTCGTGGTTGCTGGGCCCCAGCTGGGTTTGAAAGCTGGTGCTGCGGTCATCCCGGGCTGGGTTGTTGATGACCCACTGGGAGCCCCAGGAGGTGGAGAGGTAGTTGCGGGGCAGGAACATGCTGCAGTTGACATCGAAGTATTTGGCAAAGTGGATCGGGGAAGCCGAATGGAACTGGAAGGCTTGGAAGAGCAGGTCCTGCACAGCGCTGTAGTGCCTGACCATCACCGGAGACTGCTTCTGCAAGTGGAAGAGGTGGCTGGGAGAAATCATCGGGTAGCGCAGGGCTCTCAGCATCTTCTGCACTACGGAGTCCTCCGGCTGGTGAGTGGCAACCCATTCCTCCACGGCTGTGTACAGCTCCAGCTCGCTCTGCAGAACCAGGTCAGAGCGCTGCAGCAGCAGCAGCAGCAGATCGACGCTCACAGAGGCCCACTCGCCACTGCTCATGACGGCAGAGAGGTTCCAGGCCAGGAACTGGAGGCAGCTCTCCTGGAGAGCCTCGTCGCCGATCCTCACGGCGTAGTGGTACCAGCCCACCACGTGACCCTGGCTGGACTCACTGGCCAGGTGGCCCTTCATGTACTCAGCCACCCCTCGCTGCAGGCTAGAGATGTGGTACTTGCTGGCCAGCCGGTGAAGTGGGATGGCCTGATGGAGAAGTATGGAGATCTCACCACAGTATAGGTACCTAGAGCAGAAGGAGGCAAAAAGCATTGATTCTGACGGTTTTAATTCATGTTCAAATCCATCACATTTGTGATCTCCTTTCCCCTGGCCTACAAATTCAGGGTTTCCTTATGAAAGAACCTGCAGTCCGGATCACAAAATTTTTCATTGAATTCATGTGAGATTCTCTGCTTAATTTTAGACTCTACATGAACTTGGGATCTAAAACAAATGCAGGTTCTATTTTCATGTTGCAAATGACTGTTTGCAATGAAAGCCTGAAGACTGGAATAAAAGAATGCAAAGAGAGACTCCCATTTAGCCAGAGAGAAGGGCAGTGCCCCCATCTCATGGCAATAGCTGAGATCACTGGACTGCTGGTTTTACACTGACTCCTGGGTGCTCTCTCTCTTTGTTGAAGATTAGGACAAAAGCAAAATTGGTGCCGGCAGCCAGGGAAGGGACACAGTGCTGTGCAGGGCACTGCCTCTTCCACCCCCTGAAAGCCTTGCCCAAGCTTCTCCTTTTCATAGAGAAGATCTGGTAATTTAAGAAAGACAGATGAGATTTAGTCAGGAAACCAGATTGCAAATTATATGTCATGCATACATTTCCAAGCGCAGAAAGTTGAGATGTATGAATCAGGTAGATGGCAGATTCAGAATGGCAGTGGACCACCAGGCTTTTGAGATCTGTAGTGTCTCATGTTGCTTTACCAGAAGCCCAAGGCTGGGTGCAAAAGAGTGGCAAGGGGAAGGGAGCAGATGCACTCTTCAAACTAAGGAACAGAGTGCCCTGAGCACATGGTCAGCCTGGGAAATGGTTTTTAGTACCAGTCCTTTCACACAAAAATCTGTTTCTCAGTCGTTCTCCCACATCTTGGTTTCAGCAACCTGTTAGGGCAGTTCCAAAAGTCTTTTTGTTGCTAAATTCTTTCAACTGAGAGTCAGAAAATCCAGGCGGATCTCCCAGAGATCTCCCAGTGGGTCCCAACCAACCTTTATTACATCCATGGCAAAGAACACACGCACACATGAAAGGGAATCAGCCTGAGGTCCAACATTCCTATGGACAAAACCTGTTCTAGTTTTAGTAACAGATCCTTCTTCGGCTTTTACCATCACCAGTTGAAAAACATTCCTCTAGATCCTCCCAACATCTGTAGCATACCTCTCAAATGCCTCCCGCTCTGATCATTACAATTTGGATTGATACAGCATGATCAAACAAAGGACAAAAAGCTACCCAGAGTGTTTCTCCCCCTACCCACTATATGGCACAGGGAGACACCGGAGGAAAAGGAGGAAGATGGCAGAAAGAGTAAACGGGGAAAACATGCCGTTGTTTCAAGGACATGTATCATATTAGGCTTAGCTTCAGTAGGAAATGGGAAAGAATAGCTGGGTTCATAGGATGCCTTCTATAAGATTCATTATCGTTATGCTCTTTGCTCCATTTTCTAACCATGCCCCTTACTAGGTTCCCCTGGCCAATTGGCTTTATTCTTGTGGAATTGTATTTCATTTTAAGTGATACCATTAAGCAATTTGGGATTCTAGAGGTTTGCTCTGGCTCTTCCTTTCTAACATTACACAAGCATGCAAACACACACACATGCATTCTGCTTTGGTTTTCTCAATGCACAAGCAAAGTGCTTTAAAAAATATAGTCTTCCTGCTTGTGTGGTTTCCTTGCCCACCTGTGTTGCTTGCTGTAGGCAGTACCAGTGTTCATGCAGAGCTAGTATTATGGACAGAGGAAAGAATTGGCTACATTCCCTATTGGAATTACTTGGGATGACAGTGGCAGCTTAAGGTATCATCATATTTGGTGTCAAAGTAAATGAGATGCTGTAGATCCATACTTGGATCTGTCATCTTTTAATTTCTCGTTAAAACAACAGGATGGGATGAGGAATTGGAATACTCACAATACTGGAAGGAAGTTTATGGTGCAATCCTATACATGTTTAGACAGAAAAAAGTACTACAACTCCCAGCAGGCCCCAGCTGAGACCACACTCTTAAGCATGTTTCCAGTCTAAATTGTACCCATAGAAATTGGGTGAGATATTTTGTTCAGGAGAGCAGTACAGGGGGAAGCCTTCTGCAGGGTCCTGCTCTCAATCTAATTGTCATGGCTGCTTGCTTGTCACTCACTCACTCATTCACTCACTCTGTCTCTCTCATGCACACAGAGTTTTCAGAAGAGATGGAAGGTCTAATCACACATCTCTAAAATCTTGTCTAATTTGACCCTCCTTTGTTCCTTGCCCGCCAAGCTACATTTCCCAGCAAGCAGTACTCGAAACTCTTGATGACAGACAAAACCGAGCCCAAGGATCCCTCAACAGGGTTCAGCCAGGCCACTGGCAGAGAGGGAAGGAAACAGTGGGCAAACGCTCCCCTTTCAGAAAGGACTGGTGTGTGAGCTGTTCAAATCCACAGAGGCTACTCAGCCACTGCTTCCCTTCTGACTATTTCAGTGAGTTCTTCCGCTCGCGTGTGCAGAGCACGTGCAGCGGCCCCTTACCTTATGAACTTCTCGAAAAGGGCTGCGCCGTCGGGCGGCTCGTGCAGGGTGAGCACCGTCTGGTTCTGCAGGAGGCTCTCAAAGACATCGCTCTGCAAGCTGAGCATCAGCTGGTGGGTGTGAAAGATCTTGATTTCATCCGAGCCGGCGGTGCGCACCCGCAGCGTGGTGTCACTGGCATTCCCGTTATGCAGGAGCTCTTGCAGTCGCTGCAGCAAGGACAGCGAGTGGTTGATGGTGGCCACCGCGGACTCCCCGCCGAGGTCTGCCTTCTGGACTGCAGAGAGTGGGACGGAGAACAGCACAAACAGGAAGTGACACGCCAACATGCTAACACACTAGTCAGCATTAGAGTGTTCATCACAACAGCAGTATGTTTTTGGCATACTGAGAGACACGGGGGCAATCTTTGACATGAAATATCTTTCATTAAGAGAAATGTTTCTGGGCTTGGTCTTGTTTTTAAGCTGTCCCTTTTCTTTTGGAGACAGTCACTGTGTGGATGGATACTGCGTTCAGATGTAATGCCAGAAGCACAATCTTGGGCGAGCCTTGGACCCATAGGCAGCCCATTCCCCTTTCCTCTCCTGGCATAAGCACAAGGAAGAGAGCAAAAGTGTTGCCTGCCATCGATTAACCACTGTAATTCATCTTCTCCAAAGCAAGAATTGGCTTTGCTAACTATGGCTCAGGGCACAAGCCAAGATAGTTCACTGCAGTTCGAAGATGACTTGTTTCCAAATCCATAGATAACACCACAGTTTGTGTGAGTTTGAATATAACCAGTAACCACGGTTAGCTGAAAATTGAAGAAAATCCTTCCAGTTCCTTTCTCACAGCCATGGTAGAGGGGGAGAAGGGAAAGGACAAGCTCAGAATCTCATACTTATCATGTTAAAGCTTAGTTTTCCACTGTGTGTGAACCAACCTACCTGGTCCTCTGCCTCCCGAATATGCCTTCAGCTGTTTGTTAAATAATTGCTATAGTCTATGACTCTCTTTGGCAAACTAAGCTTTGCAGAAAATTAAAAAGACGTGCAGCCAAACATTCTTACAGCTGGAGAGATTTCCTTTTCCTAAATGAGAGTCTTCAAAGTACAAAACGACTCTCTGCCAGAGATCTTGTGGTACCTGATATTTGGAAAGGAAATTTTTGATAGGAAATATACTTCTTTTCTGGATGGACCTAGCTCCTTAAACTTCTGTGGTACCCAACACAGTGGGAGTTGAGCAACTGTAAATCCCTTTCAGCTGTGGCTAGTGACCGATGGTCCCGCCTAGCATGAGTTCAAGATGCAGCCCCCGTTGTGGCCTGAACTTGCGTTATTAAGCCAACATCAGTGCTGTGCCGTGCCGTGACATGCCGTGCCTTCAAGGTCATTTATCGAGCTGGGAAGACACTGACCCAGCCAAGGTCCTTTCCCAATTTCAAGGATTCCTAGACTGAAGCTATAGCAGGGTACCGGGAAAAACATTTGCAAAACAAAGATCAGGGCCACGGGTCCATTTTATAACTACACTTGCTGTACCTGCCTTCCTCAAAGTGAAGCCCCCCCAGACAATTTGGACTGCAACTCCCATCAGTCCCACACAGCATGGCTAAGAGTCAGGAATGCTGGGAGTTGTAGTTCAAAACATCCGGCAGGCACAGGATTGGGCCAAAAAGGGCTATACAAAGGAGCGCAAACATGCTGGAGAGAAAAATGAGATAGGGTTTGATGGGACTAATCTTTTGCAACCTTCGAAGCCTAGAATGGGTCGTCAATGCCCCTTTGCTGAAACAAGCTAGAAGAAAATCGGCTCCTCGCACCCGACAATCTCTGTGAAGGGTTTTGAAGGAGACAACTATTGGAGCTTGGAGAAAGTAGCCCGCTCTGCACTAAGGCGAAAACATGCGTGTGTACAAAACCCCTGTTGGCTGACTAGCGTAGACAAGCAGGAGATCAGAAGTGGTATAGCTGAACCGCTGCCTGGTAGAACTGCTGACCATTTGCCTCCACTTACTAAGCTGTTTGTACATAAAAAGGGTTTTACAAAAAATGCCCTTCGGCTGATACACGCCCGTGCACATACTGTCAAAGCCAAGCAGGCTCAGGAGGATGGCCCCTTGGAACTTGGCCCCCCTCTGATGCTGTGGGGAGCACACAACAGGTTGCTTAAGGCAACCTGGGCTTGCTCCAATGACAGCCTTTGCGTAATGTTCCCAGTGAAAATAAAGGGACTTGTGTTCTTATTTCTGCTTGCTCATGCTTCCCTCATTTTTAATGGACCACAATAATCTTTCCAAATCTGTAAGATAATCAATTCCTTTACAAACTTGAAAGATGCATCATTTTCAAAATTTCAACACGTCTCAACACTTTCAATTTCCAGCAAGCCCCCAAAATTGCAAGGGACGGAATGAGATCATTCGAGTCAGCAGCCTTTGACTGCTTCCGACTCCCTAACACGGACGGTGGTAATTAATGTCACAGCTCTGCCTAATCCGAGGGAGCTCTTGCGAGCGGCACAGCATCCACTTTATACTATTGGGCGCTGGCTCTGAGCCAGCATTCTCACAGCCATCATTAACTCAATGAAATCACTGCCGCCGGATAAATTAAATGCGAGCACCGAGCCAAGTTACACTCCTTGGCCTCCCTAGAGAAAGAAAGCTTCGCCTGTTCATCCTCCCAGCATCTTGGCTTGTGTCTCCTGCTCAGCTCAACTTGGGCAGGGATAAAAGGTTAAAACCCAAAAGCAAATGAATCCCACTCCCTGGAAGGACAAAGGGACACAGTGGGATGGGAAAGAGCTGCTTAAAGGGGAAGGCATCCAACGTGGCTGTTTCCATGCAAACATCACTTTTGTTGAAGCCTCTTTCAAAAGGAAGGCATATGTGACTTTGCTCCAGAGAACAGGGAAGGGGGTGGGTTGACAGCTAGAAAATCTCCCTTTTCAACTTGGAGTCTCCCTACTTGCCTTTCCGTGTGGTCCTTGCTGCTGCAGTTGATTCTCACAGCCATCCTGAGAGGTAGGCTGGGCTGTAAGTCAGTGACTGGCCCAAAGGCGTCCAGTGAGCTTCATGGCCAAACCGGGACTACAACTCAGATCTCCCAGGTCCAAGGCCAAGACTCTCACCACACCACCACACTGGCTCTTTACACACATAGGCTGCCTTACAAACCAGACACAACACCCCTGCATAGGATCTAGTTGATTTGTTATGAAACATCTTGCTCTCTGATACCCAAAATGTTCAGATTTTCAAGCGTGGCTGTAAGATCTAGCTCATCATATCTAGCCAAAACCAGATGAGGGAGATGTCATTGACTAGGTGCAGCGACAGAGAAACTCACATCACAAGAAATTTGCATTAGCACCGCACACGCTGGCGGTTGCAATGGGAGTGTGGAATCAGAGGCAACACTCCCACCCAACTTTTCTTTTGACTTCTGTGCACACTCCTTGGCCCTTCTTAGACCTGCAGTGAATCTGGCCCACATATTATATCTCCTAAATCCATGTGTTATCCATAGGATTAGCTTCTTAGAGAGGCAAAAACAGCACAGTTCAATCGAGCTGAGTCGGGGATCGGCAACCGGAGATTCAGCCTCTCGCCTCAGAGGGTGAGCATGATATTCAGCCTCGAAAAGGGGCAGGAAGAATTCTTGTTGTTGTTACTTTTAGTAATATATCACATGGCTTTTCTTTTACAGTAATAATCAAGCCACTTCTCAATAATACGCACAGTGCTCTAGTCTGTAAGTTCTCCTGAGGGCGCAATCCACCTTGCCGTAAGTGGTCTTTTTTGGTGTGTGTCAGCAACTGTTGTAGGGCAGAGAATTGAATGAACCAGACATTCAAGGTCAAGGTTACAATGAGCGCTGGCTGGACTTGGCCTGCTCAGTGGATGCACCGGTTAACATGACCAGTTCGGGCATTATTCTAGCAGAGCAGGGTGATCCCTAGGAATAAACCCCCGCCTTGGGCAACCCTGGCTCCAGTGCCTCGGTCAGAATTCTTGCGTGACCTTGGGAAAAATCATCCACTCATCGAAAGGGCAGAAGTGTGGGATACTTTGCTCTGGAACAGCACCGTCCAGCTCCCCCTCACCCTGGGATGCTACCGCCAAGTTCCAAGCTGCGTGGTTGGAATCGTCCAAGGGATGGGACATTGGATTCCCTCCTTCTTGGGTCTCCATGGTCCATCACATTGCACTGGGCTAATACATGTCTACAGAGTGGGTCTTCCGTGTTCTCCGGCCCAAAAGCTTCTGCACCACAAGTCCCTGCATGGTGGACCAGAGCGACTCCTGATGCCCCAGCCCAGCCCACTCACCTAGCGAAGCTCCTTCCCAGGCGCCTTCCCCCTTACCTGCTTGGACAGCTAGGCATAGCAGTGACAGAGCAGCAAAGGAGCAGGCCCATCGCCTGGGAGTGGCAGGCCGGACCCCTGTCCCTTTAGCCATCGCTCCTTCCTTGCGCGTGTCCGCAGAGGGAATAAGCCCTTGACTGAGTGTGCTAATGTGCCTGACTCTTTATGTAGGACACTGACTCTCCCAGCCCCGCTTGCCATTGATTGGTGGAAAACTGGTGACAGCTGTTACCAAGGAAACCACTTAAGGTTGTGAATTGATGCCTTTGGGGCATTGTGGACTCCCTGGGCTGCTGGCTGAGCCTCCCTGGGACAGCAAGACTACCTTGAGCCTGCAGCATGCAGGATGCAGTACGTGAAGCAAAGAGGATCCATCTTCATGCTTGCCTCCTGGTCGTTCTCTAACTTCAAAATTTCTGATTTGCAAAATAAGTTAGTTGTTCTTGTTTTCACTGCATGGTTGTGCCACTGGCTAGAGAGCCTGCCAACCAGGGTGAAAAAACTTTTTCCACTTTTGCATTTGTCCTGATTTGCATCATGGGAACAAAATAGGCTTCCTTAGCTTGGGCAGATTGCAGATTTGCAAAATGACTGCAAATTTACCATATTTGCTCAAGAAGAATGGGACACACTATTTTCTGCCATTTGACTCGGGGAGATATACATGCATCATTACTATACCATATCCACTTCCAAGCAACATGCTTTTCGAGAGAGTGTGATGGCACAGGAGCCCACGCAAAACTAAAAAAATCATGGACTAGGCTCACACAGCACAGCAACCTATGTGTGTTGGCCTGTTGTCCACAACCAGACTGCTTCCTGCAGTGGGCAACAAGCTACCATGCCAACCCATGGCTTGGACTAGAGGTTGTTGCAGCACGATGGGTAGCCATGTCACCCAGTCCAGGTAACTGACTCTCTTGTGGCCACAAGGAAGTGGCAAATGATCCACTCAAGCAGACTGGCAAAAAGTCCTTGCCGCTCCTGCCAAGCTCGCCTGAGCCACGGCCAGCGACAGCCACTCCAGCAAGTGCCCAAGAGGTTTGGTCTGGTCTCCCCCACACTGACTGTGGCACTTTGATAGCTGCTGTAGTTTTCAGTCTTTTACCTTTTTTCTGGAGATAGTTGCTCACAATCTCTAAAGGCCAGCCCCTTCAAAATGCCCCAGCAGCACACTGTGTGGCTTTCGCTATTACATCACCCGTTGAAAGAAAATAACACTCAAGATTTGCACAAAACTCTTCCTCTCTCTCTCTCTCTCTCTCTCTCACACACACACACACACACACACATTCTTTTCTCTCTCTTTTCTTCTTTCCCCCTTTTGATATTCACAGAATAGATTGCCATTTCGTGTGAACTCAGTGATGGACGACACAGCAGTATGTGCTGGAGGGAGTGTAGCTCAATGGTGGAGCACCTGCTTTGCGCAGAGAAAGTCCTGGACAGGACGGGGAACGCCTGCCTGGCTGCCCCGAGAGCCAGTGTCAGTCACACATTGGCAATACTGGGCAAGCGGACCAACGACCGGACCCCGCCTAGGGCAGCTTCTGAAGTCCCCATGTTCTCAGGAGCTGCGGCTTGCCACTGAAGAAGAGCTGAGGGAGAGAGGAGGGGCTGCATTGCCAGCCGCCACCAAGCAGCAACCAGAGGACGCCTAGTGCATCCTGTGCAGTCGTTGTCATGCAGCATCAAAACAGACACACTGCTGCCCTGCACTGCTGCAAACTGATGCTGCCGCTGGGTGTGTTACGACGCAGCCCACAGAACCATCTGCCAGCGACCCTGAGCCAGGTCCCTGTGCCCACATCATCCGATGCCTCCGGATCCGCCCAGCCGAGAATGAAGGGAACAGTTTGGAGGGGCAGGGGGAACTGTGGCCAAGCCCCACCTCTGGGAATGGCAGCTCCCTCAGCACAGGAGTCAAGGGGACTGGACTACTCCAGGCTGCTCACTTTCCAAGAGTCCCCCGATTGGGAAGGAGAAGCCAGAATCCCAGCCCAGCAAAGCCAGCTAGGCTGCCACCAAGATTTCCCTGCAATGCTGTTTGAGGGGGCAAGACTCAGCAGGGATGGCCTAAGACATTTTTCAGCCTGATGCAATGGGCAAACTGAAGGATGACATGCCATGTACAAGAACCAAATGGACTGGCAGAGACTCTGTCTTAAGTATTTATAATGCATTCCCCACTACGTCTGAAGACAGTAAGCTAACTTAGGAGGCACAGAGCAGGCCACATGGCACGTGGGTCTCTCCTAACACCGTGTTGCCACCTCTCACCACCTGCCACCCAAGACAACCGCTTAACTCTGTCTAATGGTAGGGCCGGCCCTGAGATTCAGTCCTCAGGCCCTTTCAGCCTTATTGGACAGTATCCTCTTCTGTTGGAATTGTTTGCAGCTCTTGCACAGCTCATCAAGAGCAGGGCTTTTATACCATCACTGAGGCTTGTAGCCTGACTGGAAAAGAACAAGAGTGGTGGGCAGCTGGGAAGCCCCCTGTAGATGCTCCTTGACTGTAGTTTGGCAGCAGCAACCAGGAATTGCAGCATAAATGGACTGCAAAAGCTTTGGAAGCATATGGCAACTTGCAATATAGAAAGATACACTTTAACGTCTCATGCGTGGAGATGAACCAAAGCAGCAAACCTGAGTTAATCAGTCTTCATAATTAAGCCATTATTATTTTAATGACAAATGAAATTCCAGCACAGTGCTTATTCGAAGACTCAGGAAGGACTGCCACTCTTCGAGCTACTGTATGTAGACATTCATTTTCTTATTCTTGTATACATGAGGTTTCAACCAGCCCCACCCACAACCCACAACCCCCAACGGTGGCTTTTGCCTGCTGTGTGTGTACACAGTTTGAAGACAAGCGGCCTTTCAGAGGGAATCAGGTGCGAAGGACTCCATGCCTCCATCAACCACGAAGCCAGCAGCATAGGAACTGCTCCTGCCATCCACAGTCCACACTGCAGAGCACCTGTGTGAGCAAGGCAACAGCATGGGCAGAGTTTGCATGGCTCTTTCCGACCCAATCAACCACTTCTGGCTTGAGACAATGGCAGGGGAAGGACTGAACTGTCTATGCCCACTTGGAAATGTTATGCAAAGGGAGCGATGAACTCAAAGGCAATGGAATCCGAGCACTGACATCAGTGCCAGTGCATCATTTATAGCCTAGATTGTACACAATACGGATGAGCCTTGATGGGCTGGCACCAAGCTCAGGCATGGCTGGGTACCTGCTGAGGTCCCACAGCCCAAAAGGGCCCCATTGACAAGAGCTTCGTGGATTTGCTCCTCCTCTTCCACAGTGCAACCTACCTGTTCACTTGCTTCTTGCTCCATGGTTATGAAGAAGAGGTAGAGCAGAAGATGCTCCCCCACCTGAGCCAGGGTCATCTCATCAATCTGTGACTAAGATTGAAATAGTTTAAGAAGCTGCCTCATTGGGAGGACAACCACCAGTCCATCCAGCTATGATGGAATATACTTAGCCAGCCACGGTTCTGCTTGCTATTGCTTGTGAAAGGAGCTTGGCTGATTGACACTGGCACCAACTTGGCAAACGAGGTGGGAATCAAGCAGAAAAGCCAGACAAGAAAGAGTGGGAGGGGAGTGTTTACACTTCGCTTGCCTGCTTAATACAAGAGCAGATGCCAGCATAAATTCCATCAATCCAGACAGCTACTCGATAAATGGGAACCGGCTAATCTTCCCCCAGCTGCGACCAAAGTAGAAGCAGAATGGAGGAAGGTCAATGTCTGCTGGAGCAGGCCCTGCGGCAGGGACAGCCCTGGGTGGGAATGAACCGATGCAGAAGAGGGGCTTCAAGGTGACTCCTGCTGGCAAGCAGACAGACTAATGGAAGCCTCATCCCCAGCAGCTTGGCTGGAAGAGATTGAGCGAGAGAAATGGGGGGGGGGGCAGGGGGAGTTCCTGGCTAACCCAATCCAGGGACAATTTTCCAGTGTCCTGAACAGAACCTACCAATCCTACATGGTGGGACAGCAGGCAGACTCTAGAGCTGAAGATTTTTTTTTTTTTTAACGAAATCCTCAATATCTACCAACTGGAACCTGGTGCAAAAGATGAAGAAAGAGCAGGGATGCCCCCCCCCTTCCCCCTGGGTGCTTTAGCCTACCACTTTCTATCAGCCTTAGCCAGCAGTATTTCCTCAGCCCTACCAATGTTAGTTTCCTCAAATCCTTCATGCCACCAGCATGGTTACAGAAAGTACAGAGGAACTACGTATATTTACACCCAGATGGTAAGAACCGGGCATTGCCTAATGCAGGGAGAATGGAAAGCCTAACAGGCCAAGTTCCTTCTTTCCCACATTACAAACACATACAGCTTTGACTGGCACATATTGCCCTGAGCAGCATCACATCCTAAATACATAAGGATCGAGCAAAGCCCCAAAGAATAAGGCCCAAGTATAGGTTTCCACAGGCCTCGGGTAAAGGACATTCCATTCACTTCCAACATTACTCCGACAATCGCACCCCAACAAGCCCGCAGCTAAATTCCAAATATGGCGGCGGCAGTGGCTGCGGTGGCTGCTGCTGCTTTAGCATACAATACTCCCAGGCACTTATATCTCTTGGGAAGAGTATGTGTGAAGCTGCCTCCTCACTGATCAAAGGAGAGCCCCAGACACTGAAAGAAGACCAGGCATTCGTTCCTTGCATCTAGTATCCACAGCAAAAGAGTGAAGGAATGGCAAAGGGCCGCTGAGGATGGAAGGATCGGGAGCCAGAATACCCCACAGCAAGTCAGCTCCCTGCTTGGCTACAGCCCTGCAAACAAGCACAGCTGCAGAGGTTCATGGGAAACAGGACCCCAGCCTCGGCACTACTGGGCTTCTAATCCAAAATATGAACTCATGCCCATTACAGATCCCATCTGATGGAAGGGGCCCTCAGCCCCGTCTCCCTGGCCCCAGTCAGCTGCTCAGACCTCCCACACCTTGGACTGTGTCAAAAAACACAGCATCAAGGGACCTCAGCTGTGGACATGGGTGCTCAGGCATCAAAGGAACCATCTTCTGAAATAAATGCAGCTGTACTTCGCCTATTGCAGA